AAAAGAAAAAAAATGTAACAACTTTGGAAAATATTTTCCAAAATGGAGTCATTTTTCACAAACCAAATGGACCCTCAAGCATTAGAATTTTATGTAAAACAGAAGCAAAGAATTTCCAACCAAGTGGACCAACCATCCTCTAGAAGGGAAAAAAGAAAAAAAAAATTAAAAAAAGGACGAATTTTCAAGTGGATTAAATTTTTCCAGTAAACATTGTATTAAGTGTTAGTGTAGCCGGCCAGTTGATTCTTTCTTCCTTAGAACTTCACTGTTTGGGCAGTTAGTCCCAGACCATGCATAGAAACATGGATACATTTCTTCATCTCAACTATATATTATAAAGTTCCATTTACACAATGTTATCTAAATCTCAAATCTAATAAGTATCTGAGGAGCAAAAGGATAATGATCATCCGAACATTATCTATTTTTGCTTTCTTAGAACTGCTAATGATTGAATCAGCAGGAGGACAGGCTCTGGCAATGCCTGGTTGTCAAGAGTTTTGTGGGAATGTCAGCATTCCATACCCCTTTGGAATTGGAACAGATTGCTACATGAACAAATGGTTTGAGGTCTCCTGCAATGAAACTTCCACCCCTCCTACAACTTTACTAACCAGCATAGAAATTGAGGTGCTGTATTTCTCTCTTGATTCAAGCTTAATTTGTTGCCGTCAAAATGCCAATAATCTTCCGGAACTTGTCTACAGAGTTGAAATCTGTGAATTTCTCAGGAAGACCTTTCATCTCCCCCTTGGGCTCCCCACTTGACACTGAGGAATATGTTACAGATGTGTTTAACTGGGTGATTAATGAGGTGGATGCATCACGATTACCATACAAATATGATCATGCATTTTATTGTACCCATTATAAGAATTATATCGTCCATGGTTTTTCTTCCACTTTAATGCCCCTAGACACAACTCGACAATGTGTTTGTGATCCTGGATTTCAAAGCAATCCTTATCTAACTTTTGGATGTTAAGGTAAACTTCTATCATGTCCGCTTTTTCTCTAGTTATATCCATTCCTCGTTTCATTTATGTATACAGTAATATTTACTTATTTAGTGGTTTTTTTTTTTCAAAAACATTAAACACAATAACAAAAAAAAAAAAGCAATAAGTTTTAATGCCTGCAGCATAAGGTTATATATATATAATTTCATGTATTTTAGTTTAGACTGAATATTAAAAGCACAATTCTATCACTAAAATTACTAAATTGCAAATAAATATGAAGAAGAGTTTCATTAAGAATATTTCTATAATTTTTCAGTGTTGGAATTACACTTTTAATATATAATTCGACTTAAAATACATTTTTTTATCTTAGGGTAAAATACACCCTAGTAATTGAACTTAATTATAACTTTCTACTTTTACCAATGCCTCTAATTATCTTTGGTCTTTCTTC